CAACGGTCGCCACTTTCGTGAGCTCCTGGGAGGTCTAGCAGAATAAGTAGTCACTCACACGCAGGCGAGACACCACAACTCCCGGAGCTGTCAACTGCGCAGCTGTCGCCACTTTGGTGGGCTGCTGGGAGGTCCAGCGGGGCGTAAAGCCACGCACATCCAGGCGAGACCTCACGGCTCCCTGGGGGGCTGCGAACTGCGCAACGGTCGCCACCTTCGTGGACTCCTGGGAGGCTCAGCGGGGTGAGTAGCCACGCACACCCAAGCGAGACTTCGCGGCTCCCTGGCGTGCTGCGGACTGCGCAGCTGCCGCCACCGTCGTGGGCTCCTGGGAGTTCCAGGCGAGTTGAGCCAGGCACGGCCGTGCACCCCGTCGGGTCCAGGCGCTGGGTCGCCTGCCGCACGCGCTGCCTCGAGAATACCTTGAGGCGCAGGTGCAATGCGGGCTCGATCGCAAGAAACCTTCCACAAGAAATCCAGCCCTGAACCCCCTTGATTTTCTGGCGTGGGAACGTCGCGCTTTCCATCGCACAACCATCGAAACCCAAGAAACCCAGGGCACCCTGGAGGCAAGCAGGGTGTTCATTGGCATGGGCTTCCGCTGTGCGTGAAAGTGACGTGGCAAGCCGTTGAGCAAGCGCGCCGTCCAAGCAGTGCGGCATGTTGGGGGTGTCGACGGAGGAGGAGGAGGAGGAGGAGGAGGAGGAGGAGGAGGAGGAGGAGGAGGAGGAGGAGGAGGGCGGCGAAGGCCTGGCTCCAGTGCTGCTGGGTGGCGCTGCTCGTGGCCGACGCCTCGGCGGCCGCGCTGCGGCGGCTGCCAGCGGAGATGCGGGCGCCAGCGACCGCCGGTCGCTCGGCGAACGGTCCCAGCAGCTCGCCAGTCGCTCGGCGAGCCAGCTGCCCCCAGTTGTCTCCGAGCTGGCGGTTGTTCTCCCGGTGGGCGGCGCGTGCACGAGCGGCAGCCCGCTGCCTGCGATAGTCAGAGGCTGCGGAGTTGGCGAGGGCGTCGGGGTCGTTGAGCGCGACGGAGCGGCCGAGAACGCGGATGTGCTCAGCACGTGCAGCGGCGTCGGAAGCGAGCAACCTCGCGAGGCGCGCATCCTGGAACCACACCACACGAGCTATGCTGCGGATCGTCAGCGCCCTCGCATCTCTGCCGATGGCCACGCTGTTGTCGATGGCCTCCGACGTGCATCAAGAGCCTTCTGCGCCGCAGCAGTCGCGTTATGCTTCGTTGTCCGCCCCTTCGTGGCAGGGATGTCTGCCTCGTTCAGGAAGCGGGGTGTATTGCAGCTTGCAGAGCGAGGAGTCGAAACTTAATGCGGGACTGCCACGCACCGCTGGGGGCTTCTGGGCCCTTGGGCGTAGACGAAGACAAACAATTTCACGATCGCTCGCATGTTCGCCCGTCCGTTCCAGTGGGCGGCTGTCACAGATGAAGTGGGCCCCGAGATTCGGGAAATGGCGCGCGTGGGTTGAGGTGCAGCAGCGGTCGATGGTGGACTCGGCTTGGTTGGCAGAGCATCGGTGAGTAGTCGATCGGGCGTGATTTCCACGACGGAACTGAAGATGCGCTTCCTGTATGTCAGCTGATGTTGGGCGCCGGGCAGCGGCGCTGGCACCGGCGGGTCTCTGCAAGCATGCCGACGGCTCGCGGAGATATTGGAGTCACCGATGGGCGCGAGGTTGTGGGTGGACGGGCTCAGCGCCACCCGAGCAAGAGCAGCTTGCCACGCTGACGAAGACCGGGTCCTGTCTGCGGCCGAGAGCTCGTGACTGCGAGCGTTGGAGATGCGCCGCCGTGCCTCTGGGCACGGAATGGGCGTGTCCTCGGGTCCTCTCGCTGCCCCTCTGGCTCAGAGCCCCTCGGCCCGAATCTCTGGGGGCGTGGCGCGGTTCCCCTGGGCTTCCCCGAGCATTCCCGCATGAATATTTCGGGCCCAAAAAAGCCCCGAGACGGGCCCAGAGGGCCCCGAGAAGCCCCCAAGACGGTCCAAGAGGGCCCCGAGTCGCCGAACGATCGCTCCAAGACGCTCAAGATGGCCCCCAGACACGGCCCAAAGAGGCCTCCAAGACGCCCAAAGAGGCCTCCAAGAGGCCTCCCAAGAGGGCCCCAAGAAGCCAAACTCATAGATTTTTCTCGCCGTTTCGCCTTCCCGACGCTCCCAGACGGCCTTGGAGTCTTCCGAGACCTCCCCAAGACGGCCCAAGAAGCTTGCAAGAAGGCCCCCAAACTGTCCAAGATGGCCCCAAGATGGTCCAAGACGCGCCCAAAACTGCCCTGGAGGGCCCCCAGAGGGCTCCAGAAGGGGCCCAAAAGAAGGAACACGCACCGAAAATCACAGCCTACCGCCCCAAGAGGCCCCCAGGATGCCCAAAGAGGCGCCCAGGAGACTCCAAGAGGCCCCCACTGGGGCCCCCAAGAGGCCCCAGGCGGCCCCCAAGAGGCCCAAAAGAAGCCAGAAGGGGCCCCCCAAAGGCCCCCAAGATGCGTCCACACCGCCTCAAAGAGGCACCCGAGAAGACTCCCACGACATCCCAGCGAGCATCCAATAGGCTTCATGCCCACAGCCCAGGCGCGGTGGCGGGATGGGCCGAAGGCCATTAGACTGCGGTCTCACACTGGCGAGCAGCGTTCTGCATGCGGATCTTGGCGACGCGGCCAGGGGCGATCTCGAAAAAAGTCGCTCATTGAGCGCTGGTGAACAGGAAGTTGGAGCTCGTGCCTGTCGAAAAGAATCAGGACAACGACGCTACCGAAGGTCTCGGAGTTGGCCGTTGAACGCGGAGTGGCAGGAGAATTAGTGGTGCGGCGTGGACTCGGCGAGCAGCTGGAGGCAGACTTCGTTGCCGTGCGTCTCTTGGATAGCGATGACAGGTCGCAAGAGCAGGTGAGGGACCAGCATCGCTCTCTTGGCGTCGCGTCTGGCTGCCGAACGTCCGAGCAAGGCTTGGGAACTCCACGATGCGATGCTCAACCTGCCCTTGGATGGACGCGTGGCCCATGGAGGCCACCGCTCGTCAAAGCCACGACACTGGCGCCGCGGGGTCTGAGAAGGCGGCGGCGAGCTCGGAGACGGGCTGCTCTTCAGTACTAGCGTCAACACCAACAGGTTCAGCAGCGTCAGGTCAGCGAATTTTAGACGCCTCGTCGTCTGAGACGCCTGCGGTGACACGAACGATGGGCGTGACATTGAGAGACAGGTGCCCGATAGAGCGGTGGATAAATGGCTGCATGTGCTGGACGTTGGTGTTGACAAGCCTGCTGAGTTTATGTAGCTGAACTTCTTGCCGATCCATGCGCGGCGGAATGTCGGTGGTGACGTAAAAATGATGGGCCCCCTGGGAGGTCTCGATGCTGAGAGAGTGCCAGCCCTTGCCGATGCGGAGCGCCCGGTGCGACTCATGAGCACGAGGGAGAGCAACGAGGTCGCCGCCTGATGCAGGACATGCGCTTGCCTGGACCGTTGGCGTTGGGCGTGATTGCGTTGATGTCTGCGTTGGCGGCGGTGAACCACGCCAGAAGCGAGGTCTTGAGGGCGGTGGCGTTGAACTCTGCTGCAACACCACACCAGAAGAGACCGACGTAAGGTTGGCGGCCACAGTTCCCGATGGAGTCGGTGTTGATGGACGGGCGCATGCGCCTGATGTCGGCGACGGCGGTGAAGAGGCTCTTGTTGAGGCCTTCAATTTTGTTGGCGCTGCTCTTGATGTCGGCGGTGTCGCGCTCTGTGGCCAGTGAGCTCAGCAGTGGCCTCAGTGATGGTAACGACGACTTGAACTTGCGCGTGGGCGTCGACTGTCTTGCCGTGTCTGTGAACGCTGCCGGAGCTACGTATACGTGTCCTTAGAGATGTCATTGCAATTGCCCTCGGTGATGTGCGGGCATTTGGCTGGCAGAAGGCTTGGCGGCTCCGGCAAACCATAGGTACTGTTCAGTGGGCTTGCTTTGATATTCCATGACTCTTCCGCCGATGCGGACTGGGCCGCGCAAGCCGTGGAAGTGAGCGCGTCGATGTGAACGGCGAGGATAGGAAATGATCCCGATCGAGCCGCGAGCCAGCGGTATCCGCTGAGAGCCTGCGGGCGCTGTGCCCGCGACCTTTGGAACCTTGGGCCAAAATGGCTACAGGGGCGACAGAGGAAGAGGAGAAGGAGGAGGAGGAGGAGGAGGAGGAGGAGGAGGAGGGGGAGACGGAGAAGGAGGAGGAGGAGGAGGAATGATGATGATGATGATGATGATGATGAGGAGGAGGAGGAGGAGAGGAGGAGGGAGGAGGAGGAGGAGGAGGAGAAGGAAAAGGAGGAGGAGGAGGAGGAGGAGTAGGAGGACGAGGACGAGGAGGAGGCGGAATAGGAGGGAGGAGTGGGGGGGAGAAAGGAGGAAAAGGAAAAATGAGGTGAGCAGGTAGAGGGGACGAGGAGGGAGTAGGAGGGAACACGGAGGAGGAGGAGGAGGAGGAGGAGGGGAGGAGGAAGAGGAGGGGGGGAGGAGGGGCGGAGGAGGAGGAATGAGGAGAAAGAGGAGGGATGAACAAAAGGAGGGAATGGGCGGGAACAGAGAAGAGTAGGAGGAAGAGGAGGACTAGGAGGAGGAGGAGTGGGCGGAGGAGGACGAGGAGGAATGAAGAGACGGAGGAAGGATGAGCAGGAGGAGGGAGAGTGGGAGGGAACACGGAGGAGGAGGAGGAGGAAGAGGAGGAGGAGGAGGAGGAGGAGGAGGAATGACTGGAAGGAGCAGGAAAGAGGGAGGAGGAGGAGGAGCAGGAAGGAGGAGGAGGAGGAGGAGGAGGAGGAGGAGGAGGAGGAGGGAGGAGGAGGAGGAGGGGAGGGGAGGAGGAAGAAGGGAGTGGGAGGGAACACAGAGGAGGAGTAGGAGGAGGGAGAGGGAGGGACCACTGATCGGCAAGGGCCGCCTCCAGCCGCCGTGCACGACGACGCGGAGCCGGAAGGGCGGGTGGTACTGGGCCACCGCGCAGGGGCACAGGCAGGCGCAGCACCTGCGGTTCTTCTCCTCCTCCTCCTCCTCCTCCTCCTCCTCCTCCTCCTCCTCTCCCTCCTCCCTCTCCTCCTCTCCTCCTCCTCCTCCTCCTCCTCCTCCTCCTCCCTCCTCCTCCTCATCCTCCTCCTCCTCCTCCTCCCTCCTCCCTCCTCCCTCCTCCTCCTCCCTCCTCCTCCTCCCTCCTCCCTCCTCCCTCCCCTCCTCCTCCTCCCTCCTCTTCCTCTCCCTCCCTCCCTCCTCCCCTCTACCTCCTCCTCTCCTCCTCCTCCTCCCTCCTCCTCCTCCTCCTCCTCTCCTCCTCCCTCCCTCCCTCCTCCTCCTCCTCCTCCTTCCTCCTCCTCCTCCTCCTCCTCCTCCTCCTCCCTCCTCCTCTCCTCCCTCCTCTCTTCTCCTCCTCTCCTCCTCCTCCTCCTCCTCCTCCTCCTCCCCTCTCCTCCTCCCTCCTCACTCCTCCTCCTCCCTACTCGTCCTCGTCCCCTCCTCCTCCTCCTCCTCCTCCTCCTCCTCCTCCTCCTCCTCCTCCTCCTCCTCCTTCTCCTCTCTCTGCACACGCCAGGCGGTGCAGGGGTCTCTGCAGCGGGGCAGCCTCTCGAGCAGCCCCCGGGCGCAGCGGCACGAGGGGCGCGCCCCCAGGCAGTCTCTCGGGCCCTCTCCTGCTGCTTCGCCTCCTCCTCCTCCTCCTCCTCCTCCTTCTCCTCCATCTGAGCTCAGACCCACCTGAGGCGGCAGCCTGGATCGTGCTTGCATATCAACATCGGCTTAACGCTGCGGTGAACTAATTAAGCCTGGCTGGCGCAATGAGTCCCTAATCAGGGCGGCAAGAAACGGAAAAGAAGAGTGAAGGGAGGAGAGATCGATCGACTGAACACCTAAGTAACATCATGATCGAGGACGAGCCGAACGGAGAAGGAAGGAACACGCGTGCATGGAGAAAAACGAGTCCTCCTCTTCCTCCTCTTCTTCTCTCCTGCTCCCTCCTCTACGCCTAGTCCTTGTAGGCAACTCTCTTAAATTCAGCAGTGCTTGGATGCCGCGAGCCAGGGGTCATGGGGGGGTCCGGCGGCGCTCGCATTGAAGCCGACATGCCTCCCACGTACAATGTGCCACGCCGTCACGAGAGCAGCACGGCAGAACATCCAACACAGGCGGCCGAGCAGGGGAGGAGTGCGTCAGAGGGCCCTGCGAGGGGCGCCGTGCCCCAGAAGAAGCTCAAAGCGACCCAGCTCACGATCGTGCGCGGGCCTCGGAGGGCGTGGATTACCTCATGCATTCGCTGCCTGTTGCCGCTCGCCGCCGACTCTCTCGCACCGCTGCTATTTACAGGGCCCTTGAGTCAGATGTGTCAAATCAACCAAGCAAGGCATGCATGCATATCAACACGATGAACCGCTCACACCAGTCAGAATAGCAGACTACCGGGTGGCACGGCAGGCGACAACGGCACCGAGACGGCGCCGAGAGAGAGAGCGAGACGAGTTGCTAGGAAAGAATCGATATCATCAAAATTGTGGGCTTCGAGAGGATAGCCTGCCAAGTGGGTCACAACACACATTGGCAACGAAGCAGGAGAAGAGACGGACCTTGCGAACGTCTATGGCCGCGACAACAGCGGCAGCACGAGAGGAGACCAGCAGAGGACGGACAAGAGATACCCTGCATGGGCTGGCACACTCGAGGACTGGCCAGAGGGCACGTGCAGGGTCCAACTCCTGTGGGGCGGGACATAACACCGAGATCAACACCTGCTCGGGAGCTGCCAGGCACGGTATTTTTCAGGAGCTGCTTGAAACTGCGCGGTCAGAGCCAGTGGCAAGCTCGATCACAACCAGCTGGAGGGAACGAACGGAATGCAGGGCCTGTTTGAGTTCCTGTAAGGCCAGCAAGCAGCCACTGCCCGACATCGGAGCCAGACTGGAGGAGTTCTTTCACCGAGTCAAGCGCAACAGAGGAGAGAAGACGACAACGTGGTGTCACCGACATCGAGCAGCGTATGCGTATCACCCGCTGTGCCTGGCACTACGTCGATTCCGACGCAAACGACCAGAAGAACCAGTACGTATCGCCCACGGTGCTGGCCTCGCCAACGACCCTTCCGTCGTTTGCGGCGACCACAGTTCCGACCCAACCGACCCAGCCTGTCCCAGCTCCGTCAGTGATGGAAGGACCGAGGGGAAATGAAGATGGAACCGACCTTGAGGCCGAGGACGACGACGGCAGGGAAAACCATGAACGCGACTCGAGGCGCAACGACTGGACCGACACGACTGCCGACCCACTCAAGCTAGACGACGAAGACGACATCGCGCACGACGCATTACGTGACGATGTGGTGGGATGGCTCCTGCTGATGAAGACTCTCATGCAACAACTGGCCTGCAATGCGATCCTGGCAAGCACCAAGAACCGCACCGACTCCCAGGCGATTGAGCAGGCGCTGCGTGAGCAATTCACCGATTGAGAGTTGGATCGCGCCGACAGCTCCAACCACTCATCATGGACCACATGGCAAATGTACCTTCTGGGCCGAAGAACACGGATGGTGGAGTTGCATCGGCTTCAAGGACGAGCGAGGAGACGACTTCACAGCCTGCGGGAAGTGGTGCGAGGCCGACGAAGACGACACCTGCTACTACGATGAGCATGGCTACTGGAACCACTAAGAGGAATATCTACACCCGCTCGCATTCTTCGGCAATGCCGAGGAGAACAACCCGGCTTTGAAGGACAGCATAGCAGCCGCTCAGACGGCAGAGCAGCTAGCCAACGAGAACTGGGCAGCCCACCAAGAGCAGCACGCACACAACATTTCAAGTGGCTTTTACCCGGGCGCCACCAGCTACAGCAAGTGAAAGTAGAATGGGAAGGACAAGTATGGCTCATCTCAATGCGAGGGTAAGGGCAAGGGCTCAAACACCAGAAACGACCCAGGCCAGCCTTTCTGGGCGGGCCAGAGGGGCAACGTGGAGCCAGTGGACGCGGCCACCCTCGTAGCGGCAGCCAGCAACTTTTCAGGATGTTTCTGGTGTGGCGATTCTGGACATCGGGTTGCCCAGTGCCCACACCCGCCGGAAGGCGGCAGCAAGGGAAGTCCAGTCATGGCCAACTTCGTGTTCTTGTCGGCATCACCTCTGGGGACGAGTGCGCCGCAGCTTGACGCCGACGCGGACCAGCAGGGTGGAACAGCAGAGGGCGACACCGACGACCTGGAGGACATTTCCATCCTGGCCACCGGACGGCAAGGGCGTCGTGGATTGTGGAGATGCCGCGACCATCTGAGGGGTCGAGGCCATCGTGAGGCTATACCACCGCCGGTGCGAGTAGCACGACCGCGAGGAGATCAACCTCGTCCCGACCGACGCGAAGAGGCTCCGCTTCGGCAGTGGCACTGGACAGGTGGCGGGGAACAGCACAAAGGTCACCGCTACTGCAGGTGGCTACACGGCCAACCTTGGGATCGACTCGTGAGCGTTATTTTTTATTCGGCGTTTCGACATTGGGCGGAAAGGGGTGGGGAGGGGGGAAGTCTGGCTCCAGACCTATGCTTAATGCGACTGCTTGCGAGAGTGCTGCCTCTGGGGTGGGGGCTCCACCCGCTCGAAACAGGCGCCGAAAAACAGCCAAGATCTACTCAATAGGGGGGGGACGGGGGGGGGTAGGAGGGCCCGCGCCGATCGGCAAGACAATGAATAAAATAACGATCATCTCTCTCAACTCGCCGAAGGTACCACTCTCAATGAGTATGACGACGCTGGGGGGCCTGGGTGCAGTGATCGACTTTCGTGACGAGAGCGGCGATGTTCCCACGCTTCAGCGATCTACCGATCCAGCTGGAGCGAGCCTCGAGCGGACACCCTACTGATTTACCAAAACTTAACTTGCCCCCATCGCACTTAAAGATCGCACCCCAAAAATGATTTCGAGCACCTGGAAAAGTGTCGTAAAAGTGTCGAACGAGTATCGCCTCCCAAGGCTCGACACGTGACAACCCTCCAATTTCGGTGCCTTCTTCGTGCTCGAAACTCTTCCTGGTAATCAGGGCTAACATAGGCTGGAACATCATAAACCTAACCGGGGGTCTGATCCGCGGCGCACCCTTGGCGACTGGCCAGGCAGCGTGGAATGCGCAGCGCCTCGCAGCAGCACTCGCGTGGCGGTTCTGGTGCCAGCGGGTGGAGCGCTGGAGGCCCCGGAGCGAGCGGCCACCTGGGCCGCCAGGGATGGAAGCAGGACGGGCTCGGAAGAACTGCTGCGAAGAGGCTGGAGAAAACAGAGCTCACATCATCACACACAGCCTCCATCAGTCGGTTGACATGAACATGCGCCACTTTGTTTTCATCTCCAGTGCCACGTCTCACGCCACCACAACGGCATCATCACGTACATAAGCCTCGCTATCGTCGGGGATCCAGACGAGGCTCATATCGATCAGGGAGACCTCCAGAGCTCCGAGGGCCACGTCAGGTTCGATGTCCACTGCGAAAGGAGTCCCCCAGAGGACGAGTTCCAGAATCTCTAGCACAGCACAAACCAGGAGGGTGGACCCCAAGGAGCTCGCAGGCGCTTGGAGTAAAACCAGGTCCGATAGGAACGCTCCGAGGCGGATGTTGGGCTCCTACCAGAGCCCTGGCCTTCACGCGTGTACCTGTTATTCGTGCGGTGCAGCCCGGATCTTTTTGGAGCTCACTGCATTTGCGGCGACTGTTTCCGGCTCAGGAAGATTCGGGACTTCGAGTTTCAACTACCGAAGATGCCTGATGAGCGCTCAGCGTCGAGCATGAATTCAAACTATCGGCGAGGTAGAGCTCGCCCGTTCGCTATTCTGCTCGCAGGACTAGTCAGATCTGCGCTGCAGCGGAGCGCAGCCCGTGCAAGGGCAGCCACGGACGCCCTCACTCACCGCGGGGACCACGACTCGGACCGAGCGACGCCGCCTGGTCTGGGAACCAGTACAGCCGATGGGCGGACTGCAGGGCGCGCGGCCTCCGACTCGGCCACTGG